TCAGATCTGACTGGCTATGGTTGTTTTTTATCGATGTTCTATCCTAAAATTCTGACCAATATCGTACCATTACCAATCCTTAGTATCAGATGGAGCAGATAGAAATTTGCAAAGTCTGACCTCAGTTCATCTTTAAAAGGTCTATAAAGTACATTTTCAAAGGTAAACATTGTGAAACGAACATAATATGGTGAGTCACCTCCACACTGCGATACATTCTTAGCTCCAGCAATGCCCTGTCCATCAGTACTGGGACACGGCTCACAAGACAGCTGACCAACTGTGTCCTGGTATGTTCCGGGAGGACATTGAACGCACTGCTCATGCTCTCCACTGTAGAATGTGCCCAAACCACAGCTCACTGACAAGAAAGACACAGAATAGTATTTTCAAATATTCTTTGTTTCGGTTAGCCATAACGCTAGGAAAGACACCATACTGAACCATCCACACTTACCACACTTTCCACCTTGTAGGACTTGTCCTGTGCTGCAGGGCTCAGCGCCTTCTGGTAATCGTGACTGTTTCTGAGCCACCTCGTACTCAGTGCCTGAGAATTGGATGTAGAACTGCTGTTTGTTGATAGATTTCCTGAGCGTTCGCATGGCACTCTGCAGTTTCTGCTTCATTCTGTCACGCATACACTCCACGTTACATGAGTCTGAAATAGAAATGATTTTAAAACAAATGTTTATGAATATCTGATACGCTGTATCAGCCAATTGAGATGGGCTTGATTTCTAATGAATACATCACACGATTGCATTGTTACATGAACTTCACACATAATGTCATGAAGGAAAAGATGGATGTTTTAGAGCTAATAATTGTTTACAGAGTAGTGTCTGACACTTCTGTTAAAATGTTTATTAAAAAATGTTCCTTAGTCATAAATTATCCGGCATTTGAACTTTTTCTGTTTGAGGATTTTTGGCAGTTGGCAGACTGCAATGCTTGCAATACCAATGTTGGGTAACGAACTATGTGGCAGTTAAGCAACATCTGACACCAGTTCCAAGTTCCAGATGATGGATAGTGTATGTGTGTGAGCCTGTTTAGCCACATTTAAAAAAGATTAAAACACCTGAGGCTTCCTCCTCCTTTATCTCCATCTCAAACTCGGCTGTGATGTGTGAAACCTCCTTTGAAGGGGATTTGCGTCCTCGTCGCCTCTTCTTAGAGGAGTCACATTTGAGGTTGACAAAT